CATCTACACAGGCCTGCAACGTAGGGTATATTTTCTGCCGGCATTAGATTTAGGTTTTACAATAGTAGGGTATATAACTAGTGTTTTACATTGTATGTGCAGATTCATTGTAACGCTGTTTTTTTTCTGTTTTACCTGAAACACAAAACCTGCCATTTCTTTATTTTATTATTATTTTGTCTAATTAAAGGAGGGTTTGTATGGTTTACGTTACATGGTGTGTAATGTAATTTACTTTAGTTACGTCCAATGCCGATTGATCCAAAAGTAGAAGAGAGAGATACAAATTAAATAGTAAGAGTATACTGAAATAAAGAACCCAACCTCACTTATTTACTGACAAAGCGTAAGTGAGGGCTACAAATAAATGACGCATACATTTGTTTCTGAATACGGGACGATYCCATTTTTCAAGGGACGGTTGGCAACCCTACTTCCACAGATATCAAATTGACACAAATTTGAGAGCAGCACAATACGTCTCATTTTTCTCTGAGCTGAGACCAGGAAAAGAGACAGATGTGAAAGAATTTAGAGAAGTTGCTCAGTGCTCACTGTAGCTGCGTTTCCATTGTAAATGTGCGCAAAACTTTGTCGATATTCTGTTAATGTCGAAAACACAGTTTCACAACTGCAGTGTTTCCATTAAGTAAGAAATGTTATTAAMGTCACGTGAATACGTTTGTTCTCATGATAAGTCATTACAAACATGGCAGCGATGGATGTAAACACATAGCATGTTGCTACCACGACACTAGTGCTCATCATCAGAGGAGACGTCGGCGTCTTTTATCGAGGCTTTCCAGAGACAAGTCTCTACTTGGGTGCGGCTACGTATGCTGTATTTTTGGGAAATTGTAGTCGGTGAGTGTGCTGTTGTGTGTCAGTTTGATGACATTTCACAGATTTATACTACAGAAGTGTTCAGTTGTTGCCATCTAGTGGCAGAATTTAGGTACTACACTTTAAGAGCCTGCCATTTTTGATGATGTCATAAAAAGAAGACAAGGCAGGAGAATACTGTCGTGTATTTCAGGTGTGTATGTCCCTTTAAGACGGGAGCGAGCACCAGGCTCGCTCACGCGTCTCTTGGGCAGAGTTCTTCGTAACATTCTAGCTGTGTGGACCGTCTTTYGTCTCTCTCGGAGGAAGCTCACTGATTTTCCAGCGAACCAKCCGAAGCAGCAGCCAGCCGCACCAGCCCCAAAGCAGACGGTGAGAAGAAAAAGAGAGTCCGAGCCACCGACAGCAGATGAGCAGAAGAGAGACGGGTCCAGCAGCTGACAAAGCCCAGAAGAAACGAAACGGAACCAGAGAGACACAACAATACAAAGCATGGTTTTTTCTCAGTAACACTACAACTCGATTCAGTCGGTCTTTGAAAGCACTGTTGTTTTACCCTACTTCAACTGGCTTCAGTAAAGAGTCAACGTAAGCTCTCTTGTCTGTGTGG